TTGTTTACTCTTTAATATTTAAAAAAAAAAAAAAAAAAAAAGAAATTCCACATAGCGTAATAATCTTCTGCATTCCTTTGCATACATTCCTTCGTTGGTTTTGTTACAAATATATTCAACATACGATTTTTTATGCTCTCTAATACTTCTTTTACTATTTTGCTTATCCAGCTATGGTGAATACGAAACTGAAATGCTAGTGATGGGAAGGATTTCCCCGTGGCCATATATCTGAAAATTAAAAATAAATAAACAATGAAACAACTAAGTATTTCTTAATCATATTATTTTAGAAAGTGATTGCAAATCGAGATGGAAGAATATTAGAGACTACTATAAGAAAAAGAGAAATGAAGCTATGAAAGAGCTGGGTACTGGATCTGAAAAACCCGAAAATGATTTTTTTCAAAAGTTTAAACATTTGGTTTTTCTTGAAGATACAGCCATCGTACAAAGAGAGTAAGACTGAAACATATTTTAATAATAAGTGTTAACATAAGGTTTTTATTTTAGAACTTGTTGTAGTGTTTTAGAGTATACACAAGAAGATAATCAAAATTCCGAAAGTACTGAATATACAGCACTTAGTACTACAAAAATGGAAAATTCTGTGCATTCTGCAGAAGAAGATTCACAGTTAGATACTAGTGAAGTAATATTAGAAAATGCACAAAATGAGCAAAATTGTCCGAAAAATATGGAAAATACGGGATCAAAAAAAAATACCAAACCCCAAAAAAAAATTCGATTATGCAAAGAGAACAATTTTACAGATGAAATAAAAAAAATCGTGAGGAAAGGACTGCGCTCATCAAAGAATTATGCAAACCTAATCCGCAAAATGATCCGTTGCTAGATCCAGCACTTTCAACTTTTTTTCAGAGCATGGCTTTAACAGTAAGTAAATTTACACCTGAGTTACAAGCCAGAGCCAAAGTTGATGTTGAATGAATGCTGTGAACCGTCTAGAACTTTTAAATATTTTTACCACAAAACCAACACCCTTGGAAGGACCATTTCTACAAGAAACCCCTACAAGGAACAGTTCTTCACAGTCACCCAATACTGGCCACTGCTCACCAACTTACACGAATATTTCACAAAGTTATTCCCAGTCAGCTAGTGACGGTTCGATTTTCTGCATTGATTTAATACAAACTGATTTACAAAATCAACACTGATTTAATACAAAATTAACAAAAAAATTAATGTTTCGTTATGTTTGAAAATGTTCACATTTTGAAACCATGTTACAGTATTATTTTTTATCGATACTTCTCAAAGTGTGTAATATATTTAGTTATCTTTAATATTAAATGCGTTCATCTAACTGTACAGGGTATTATTTCATATTTTAGCCAAAAGTACAGGATGTATTATTTTTAATAGACTATCCTCCTCGAATTGATTACCTTAATGTAACGCTTAGTTTTTCCTTGGGCGATATAGGGAAACGCGGTCTGTTATAAGCATTTCTTGTAATATCAGTTTCTATATAGGATAGAATTGTTATGAAAAGTTCCTTATTGACTCTGAAATACTCCCTAAATTTGTTGTCGTCTTGGGATAGTCTTGGTTCAATTAGCAATTTAAAAGTACCTTCATTTCTTCTATTTAAATAAATGTCATTTATTTTCTGCCTTTTCTTGCACTGAAATAAATGAAGAAAGTAATTTTCTTCTTCTTCTTCTTCTTGGAGCAGAAGGAGTACACAAATTCGCCTTTTTAACGTGTCGTTCATGATCAACGGACTTCGAAAAACTGTGACGGAAATCATGTTTCAATAAAATCTAGGTCTCCACCTCCGCAGCCGAATTTCGCGGCGAACTTTCGGTTTCCGCTTCGCTCTCGGTTCCGTCTTCCGTTACCGATGGTCCTAGGAAACCCTACCTTAATGGCGCTATTCTGTATTCCACTCTTACCGAAAATCGGAAATGCAACCGACAACTATCAGTTCGCGAATGTCGTCACTCGAATCGGTACGTCCAACCAATCAGCGTTGAGATTGAGACTTTAAATGGCAACCGTCAACTACCTGTGTGACTTATAATTTACGTGAATATACATATACTAGTAGTGAATTATAGTGGCTAAATTTATCTAATAAATAACAAAAATGTCTGCAAGGAGTGTTAGGTAAGAGCATATTATTATATAAAATTAGTAGCTAGTGAAATATATTGTAGTAGAAGTATTTATTGTGTGTATAAATGTTTTATCTTCAAGTATTCTTTTAAGCTATTGTTAAAAAAATATTGCAATTTTGCTGTACCTATTTCACAATATATGACGAATCTAAATGTAATACTTTCTCTTATTTTAAGGTTTGCGTTAGTTAAGTTTCAAAAACGACATTGGTATATGTTTCTTTTATCTTTTTTAGTAAAACTCAGCGATTTAACATGGCTCAGAGGGATCATTTGATCCAGTATATGGAGATCCACGCAATGTTTGGTGCGGGAAAATTTACTGGTAAAGAGGGGAAGGATTCGCTACGTGAGAGGTGGAACGCCCTCGCTAAAGAATTAAATGGAATAATAGGAGGAGCGCAGAAAGATGGGAGCCAGTGGCAGGTTGTGAGTATCCTCACTGTTTTCAGATTTGTGTTGTTTCTAAAGATATTAAAAACTCTGTCTGAATTGAAAATTGAATTATATTTTTTAAGGTGTGGAGGGACCTGAAACACAAAGTTTCGAAAAGGGTAGCAGAGATCAAAAAGGACCTCCAGCGATCAACCGGCAACCTTGAGAGAAAACACCCCCCTCTGACCACCTGTGAATTAAGGGTGGCAGGAGTAATAGGGCCCGATTATATCCAAGGCTCGTCAAAGTGCCCAGAATCGATTCCGGAGACTGAGGTAAAAAATATACTAATTCATTGTAATAGTAAGGGTTTTATAGAACTGTTTTGATTTTTTCTTTAGACACAACTTGAGAGATTGGAGAACGGCGACGAGTCAGTTCTCGAGGAGACTCCAATGGTACTAACCGTACCGTTCGTCGGGATTGATGATAATGGGGAATCATCAGAGGGGTTACAAACATATTATGGTAGGATATATTTTTATATTTAAAATTGTTCACCAAAATGTCAACAATCTTAACAAGACAAAATAATAATTTGATATTGTTTTCAAATCAGTATTAGATGATAATATGGTTGTTAACAACAAAGAGGATGGTACTAATTCAACTCCGGCACTAGAAGCGGATAGAGCTGACCAATCGGATGGAGCTGACCAATCCAAATCGCAACCAAAAGGAGATATCACTCCCTCAAAAAAGAAAATTTTTAAAAGTAAGTCTATATTATAAACTAGTTGAAGCCTGGCGTATCCGCCAAGACATCAGAAAAAAAATACTTTATATTTTTTTAATTAAATGAAAAACAAATAATCCGGCGACGACAGTTTTTAGAAGAGCCAATTAGCTATCTTTTAGTAAAAAAAATAACTTTCTGGAGCAAGTCGTTACTTCAGTAGAGACGACACAGATAAGCATTAGCATTTTATATATGTAGATTACATGATTATGTACTGTAATAGTGAGTTTTCGAGAGGATATTAATTTATATGTCGTTATTATTATTATGAAAACAAGAAGTTTTATTATTAAACTTTAATGACTAACTAAAGAATACGTTATTAAATTGGCAACAGGCCATCAACAACACACCATATTTTTACTATATAGTCACTATAATTTTTACTAACTACATTATCACGCCACCTCATGTCTGTTGTGACAGTGGCAGCTCGTGGATCACAACAGTTGTGGACAAGATATTAATTTTAGGCCATGTGGCGCCATCTAACCACAGTTATTGCAGAATAATACTATAGTAATGTGTAGTAAACTGTAATTTAGGATGGAATCTGTTTTCTCCAACATTATATTTGTTTAGGAACAAGGAAGGCAAGCCGGCTTCGAATAGGAAGCCAACTGGAAGAAGCGAGGACGAGTTTCCAGGAATTATGCGCCGCTAATAATAGGGCCATGGAGGTAACTTTTAAAAAATTAGCATGTCAGTCTTTGAAATATATTTTTATAAATTGTCGAAAATAATCATTCTATTGCAATAGAAACACAAAAATAAAAATTACTTTTGCAGATGTTGGCTCAGGCTACGTTGAAGCAGGCGGAGGCTGCTTCAGTGCAGGCGCAAGCTGCTTTGCTGCATGCTCAAAATGAAGCAAAACAAATAGAAGTTTTTGGCAAGCTTGCCAACCTTCTAGAAAAAGTAATTGAAAAGTTGTAGTAGCAGAGTTGCTACTGCAACTTTCCATAGCACTTTTTGGCACGATGGGCGTGTAGTTTTTTTATTAATAAAAATATTATTTACAAAAATCTATTTTATTTACATATTTAATATCAGAATCAGTAAACACTCAATTATGCACAAAATGCTAACAGTAAATTATAAAAAAATACACATTAAGGTAACACAGATAACACAACTAAAAAAAATAATAATAAACTATTTTATTTAAACGTCAAGAAACAGAAAGTTAATAAAAAGTATGTTTAATTATTCTAGTCTCTACCCCTACCATATCTCCTGGAAATGAATCTGTCTTGTACGCGAACAGCCAATGCTCGACCTTGTAGACCCATTTCAACATCCAGATTCGGAGGATGAGCAGCACGATGGGCGATTACTTCAGCCTCCTCAACTTCAATTTCCTGCATACTATGCTTAATTCTCATGTTGTGCAAAACAGCACAAACATTGACGATTTTACCTGCCAGTCCCGGTTCATACATTAATTTTCGCTGACTGGACAGACATCTGAATTCGGCTTTCAGAACCCCAAAAAGCCGTTCGATAATGGACCTTGCAGAACAAAGGTCATCATTATATAAAGCACGAGGAGTTCCTGCTCGCTCATTCTTCATGCGTCATGAGCCATGGCTCTAAGGGATATCCATCATCTCCTATTTGCAAAGAGAACATTTTTAAATTGAAAAAAAAAATTTGAGAACACTTTCTAACTTTAAACCTCAATTCACTGATAACCACATACCAATCAACCAAGTATTTCGTTCTCCACGGTTATAGTTGCGCTCCATCACCCGTTTTGCCGTTGAGCTTGCCCATATGAAAGCATCATTTCTGGCTCCAGGGTACCTTGCATTGATGTTTAGTATTATTAATTCAGGATCACATATCTATCAAGGTAACAAATGAAAAAAATATCTTACAGTATCCATGTTAAATTAGTATTATTATAGTATATTATATATAATATAGTAATATAATTTTAAAGTAATTAAATATTACAAAAAAACTTACAGCTTGAACATTGAGAGCGTGATCACCCCAATGATTTACATAAGCTTCTTCATGCTGTCTTGGAGCCAGAAGATGCACATAAGTGCAGTCTATGGCACCTATTGCTCCTTCAAAAGGTTGAGGTGCTCTCAAAAAAGATTGCCGTGCAGCATGTCGTTGTTCCGGAGTGATGGGAAACTGTACCCACTGATACAGAAATCTATCATTGATGCATTAGTAACATCGCTTACACATCTGCTCACAGTTGGCTGGCTCAGTGCTAGATCATATTGACCACCCACCGCTGCTTGATAGCAACATGTGGCATAAAATCTTAAGGCTGCAAGAACCTGTGGCCCGTAGAAAAATCAGTGAGTAATCAAGTGATACAATTTTCTCTGATTCTAGTCAAAACACAAACCTGATGTTCAACTGAAACACCAGTTGGTCGGCGCACGGTGGGGCCGATTGAAGAATCGTTGGCCAAAACCTTCAAAGATATATGAATCAACCAAAAATATATAGAATTTAACAGTTTTTGCTTAATTGAATTTCTAGGTAGCCAATCTTCAAAATTTTAGTTAACTAAATTATAGTTCACGTATATACCCAGCATATTAGCTCATCAATATAATGTGAGAAAAAATACCCAGATGACAAAACTTTTACACTTTTGCCTTGCAAGCCATTTCGAATACTGTTGTCTTGTGGCATGTCTGTGTGTCTGTCTGTCTGTTTATCGGTCTGTTTGATATATTTTTTTATCCGTATGTAACTAACAACTTTGATAAAAAATAAATATTGCTTTTGGATTTTAGTTTTGAAGAAGTAAAAAAATAATTATTTTCAGTCATGGTCTCACGTTTTAAAATGAGTAGTCCGCACGTAATCAAGAAAGTATGGGCTAGATTTTTCTAGTACCTATTACAGGCAAGCATCTAAAAATTAATTTCGGATGATGAGGGGCTTCCAAAAATTTTAATATCCATTTCGGGGGAAGGGTGGTTTTGGGTGCCGGAATTTTTTTTTCTCCTTCTATTTTTGGATTAGAGGCAACTAAAAGATTTGAAATTTGTGACGAATTGAAATTAATGTGTTTAAAAATAATTTGTTTAAATGCTTAAATTTTTAAAATCGGTTCATTATTTTAGTACATATCATAGTTTGAATTTACGTGCGGATATTTTAATAAGTTAAGCCGCTTCTATCTAGAAATTTTAAACTGTCATATTTAGACTAAAACGTAATATTTTTAAACATATTGCCTTACTTCAAATCTCCATGTTGTTCCATTAAAATGATAAAAAAGGAGTGGGAACATTTTATAGTATCTAAGCCTCGATCTAAGCATTAATTCAGTTAAAACCCACAAAATTTGTAGATTTAAGGTGGGGTGGGACTTAAGTGTCTAGGACCCTAAGACCCCCTAACTGTGTGCTTGATTACAGGCGATTCAAGAGTATCAGATTTTATTAAAATCACACAAAACTAATCTAAATAAATCATAAAGACCTATAGTATCTATTACTCAAAGTACCAGGGACATACTTACATTAAAAAATAAGTTGCGTAAAGTTGCGCAAGATGGTAACAAATACATGAAGGGTAATGTCCAATCTTTCAAAAAACATCAGCCAATAAATTAGGCAACTTTGGGCACTCAACAAAAGTCAAGGTTAAATAGCATATTTTATTTTTTATATTATACTAATTTATTAATTAATTTAGTATGCATCAGTGAAAAAGTTTTTTTTTCAAAATATAGCTAGAAATAGTCAAGTAGTATTGTACTTTTATAAAAAATGCAAAAAATTAATTGTATTTAAAAATTAACCAAGAAATTTTACTTATTATTCGGGCCCTACAAATTGCAATTATTATACACGGTAGAACTAAACCTTCGACATTACTGCCCTTCACTGGTTACAGATCTGCATCCAAAAAATTTTTCTGTGCATAATATAATATTTAGGTCTTTTCTGTATTCTATGGTCATCAAAACTTTTTGAAAATGCAACTTCTGTTTTATAAGGTTCTGGCCGCAAAAATGGCAATCGGCCCCATTGTGCGGCGTCTTTCCAATATTGGCTGCAGTTCCTCGACTATGTCCATCGCCAAATCAGGAGTTAGTCGAAACATATCAATAAAGACATCGTCGTTTAACTCGAACGGATTGTGTTCCTCTCTCCATGCCCTCCTTTCAATTCGACGCTCCTGCATTTCAGCTTGATGCTGTAGGTAGATTAAGTCCACAGCTAGGTAACCAAGACCAGCAGTCACTCTATTATATTATATAATAATATAATGAATAACATAAATATATAACATAATATATAATTTATTAATAATTAGTTATTCAACTTAATCAATTAATTAATTAAAATAAGATGTATTATCGTACACTAGAATATTTCATAGATAGTAAAAATATTTTGACATGACCACTTTGTTATGTTTAACATTTTCATATTTACAAAGCGTAAGCTACTCTTATGAAACTATTCAAACATTTTTAAAGGTGGAATATCTATATGTTTACGAATTATAAAAAATTTTATACAATAATTCAGAAAAAATTCCCTAGAACGCTTAACTTATGTTTTTTCAAAAATTATACAAATAATATATCGTGACACAGAAACTCGTATACCCTATTCACAATGCTTACCTTATAAAACAGTAGACACTACACTGGAAAACCACTTTCAAATAGTCCAAAATCTCAATAAAAAAATAGTAATGTTAATGAAAATTAAATATCAACTGAGATTGTCAATTTATACAATCGTCGCGTCGCATCGTCGCCGTCGGTAGCGTTTACCGTGGGGTAGACAAGGAGTGAAATTCTGTACTAGTCAACGACAATTTTCGGTATCGGTCAAACGTCGACCGACCGAAATCCTTATATTGCAATTCCGGACTTTACGCGGCCTACCGAAATCGGTGAAACAGAGCGGAAACAATCGTTCCTCGACCGACAGCTTCCATGACCGTCGAACGTGTCGAACGACTGTTATTAAATTGTTTGAAATTAAATGTGTTTGGATGTGATTAAGAAAAATTTTAGCGATTTTTCTACCACATCATAGATTTTGAAGTAAGAGAAAACAAAAGTACATATTATACATACGAAGGTAAGTAATAATAATTAGCATTGGTAGAAGTAGAGAAACGTTTGTAGAATAAAATTAGCGTTAGGATACGCTAAAACGTACTATGAGTAGCAGAGGTGGAGTCATTTCCGTTTCGTGTTTAGTGTTTCATGTAGTCCGAATAAAAAAACTTGTGTTATGGAAACGGAAATAAGTTTGCCTCTGTCCTCTGCTTACACTATTTACCAGGCCAAATAACGTTTTTTTTTACTTTTTGATGCACAATCGAAAAAAAATCAAGTTGGTGGGGGTAATACTTTATAACCTGACATTATTCCCTCGCTCTTAGTTTTGATTTGAAAAATGGAGTATCTTGCCTATGATTTACTACATTTGGAAAGAAGAGTAAGAATAATGGAACGCCGACTAGAACGAAGGGCTCTAAGAGATGTCATGGAACCTTTGGAACTTCCAGATGATGAATTTATAAATTTGTACCGTATTTCTCCTGATATGGCCACAGATTTGATACAAGCTCTTCGCCCTCACTTGGCACGTCAACGTCCTTATGGATTATCCGTAGAAAAACAGGTGACATTGAAAAATATTCATCTTATAAGATATAGCAATAATAGGTATTGCTTATAATTTACTGTAGGTTCTAATAGCTTTGCGGTTTTATGCTACCGGAAGTTATCAAAATCCGGTAGGAAATCAAGAAGGATTAACTATGAGTCAACCATCTGTGAGTCGATGTGTACATGCTGTCACTGACTCTATAAACAATGTCTTTTTGAGAAGAAAAATACGGTTTCCGCTAACTGCAGAGGAAAGGAATGCTGCACGATTGAAATTTGCAAACGCGATGCAACCGTTTTATGGAGCGATCGGTGCGGTGGATTGCACTCATGTATCTATTCGGGGACCAAGTGACCACGAAGAAGCCTACGTGAACCGTTACGGATATCACTCTCTGAATGTTCAAGTGGTAGGTTAATGAGAGCCCCAAATGTTGCGATTTCACTCTCTTGAGTTATGGTATCATGAATTTTTTCAGGTATGTAACCCAGATTATAAAATATTAAATATTAATGCTCGCTTTCCTAGTGCACGTCACGATGCCTACATTTGGTCGAACTCTCCAGTACGAAGTTGTATGGAACGTAATTTTGAAAGAGGAGAAAGGCAAACGTGGCTGATAGGTAAATACATGTTTTTTTTTAAGTTTTGTGAATAACCGCATCTTTTCATAGGAGATGAAGGCTATCCATTAGAACCATGGCTTCTCTAACCCCATTACCTCACCAGCAACCAGGAACACCTGAATATTTTTATAACGAAGCACTATGTCAAAGTCGTAGTTGTGTAGAGCGCACGTTTGGAGTCTTGAAATCTGTATTCCGCTGCTTAAACCAAGAGCGCCGATTAATGTATGAACCGGGACTAGCAGGAAGAATTGTAAACGCTTGTGCTATTCTGCACAATATGAGGATTGAGAACCAAATAGCAAATAATTTTATTGACGAAGGTCTCAGAGAGCCAGCTATGAATCAGCGAAATCTCGAACTCGATAATGAAGGATTACCACAAAGAGGAGTTGCCTTAGCACAACGGACCGTTTAATTCATCAAGTGTTTCGGCGTTAATATTAATTAATGTTAATATCATTTAAATATTTAATCCATAAAAATACAATTCAGGATTAGTTTAGTTTTATTAGTCATTCTTTAGTCTCCAAGTAACTAATGGCTCTCTCTGCCACCCCCGCAAACCTCTCCAGTATCGCAATCATTTTTTCTTCATTTCTGGCGTGGCGTAGGGAAGCTTCTGCCTGTAGTCGGCTACTTTCTGCTAGTACCTACGAAATTAATTAATTAAGATTAAACTATATGATTTGAAAAATATATAAAAGGCGAACCTACACTTAAGGCGTCTGCAGTTCGATCTGCAATGGCAGCAAATATATCTCTTGCTTCACCTAACTGGACGCTCAAACGTGATTTACTTGGTGTACCTGAAAGTGTAAAAAGTTGCAAACAGGGTGTGTTTCATATTAATATGATAAATAAGTAGTTCCACAAACCACTATTACAGGCTGAAGCTACCCTTTTTCTTGATTTTCGAACGTGTTCGCTCGAATTTAACAAACTCGTTGAAGCAGTTGGAGATTTAGTGGGGTTTTTAGATTTAGGAGCAACCTCAATACTTGTAGTATTTATAGTTTTTTCAGTGTCTGTCACTACATCCTGACTTGCAGTAGGAAGAACCACAGGAGCCAGCGTGACTAAATCTAAACTATCAGGAGGGAGGTCTATTGCCAACGGATAAAAGTAAATGTTAAACTTTATATTTAGTAGAATGTGGCTGTTTTATATTTTCTAAACCTTACCGTCAGTCTTAGTTGGTTGCAAAGTTACCACTGTAGGTGGGAGGTCCAGCACAGATTCGTCATAGTTCTCTAAACGAATTTGTAGATCCTGAAATTACGATTAGATGATAGAATAGATATCACAATATGAGTTATAACCCCAACGACCTAAAGCTAAGCTTTGCAACCCCAACGACCTAAAGCCAAGAGTGAAAACAAAAAAATATATAGTATACAGGTCAAAGAAACGAAACAAAAAATACGTACGCGCTCGTAGTTAAGTGTAATGTCCAAAAACAATTAAAAACAATAGTAATATGTGTTATTGTGTTGTCCAGTTTAACAAATTTTAACTCTGAAAGAATCTACGTTCAAGAGGCTTGAAAAAGACATATACTGTCGAAACGTCGTCACAAAATAAAAAAATAATGAACAAAATCTAGAAACATCTTTGCAACCCCAACGACCTAAAGCCAAGAGTGAAAACAAAAAAAATATGAGTTATAGTGCATTACTTCTTCCTCAGCTAAACTATCTGCGCAGTTGGAACTACCTTCGACGTACTGCATACCAATAATGTTTAAAATTCTTTCTTCTAGTTTTGTAAGAGGTTTAACTGTTAGCTCCAATTTTCCAGTTTTTCTCAGCTCTTTTTTTAATTGTGAGTAATGGATGCTGGCTTTCGACCTCAAATCTCTCCATACCTGCAAATACATAAAATCCAAAAAGAACATACACTTAAATGTAGCGAACTTCACTAACTGTTTGCCACTGCTCTTTATCCTTTTCGAACCCCCTGGCACACTATTTGCCATCTTTGTAAGTGCTTCCCATTCGGTATTCGTACTTTCACGCCCGTGAATGCCGATAAACTTACGAGCAGCGAATTCTTTATTTTGCTCCATGTAAGAGATTATAAGTTCGATCTGTTTAGCTGTGGCTGGTTTAGACCTCTTCTTCCTAATAAGTGCATAACTGCGTAAAGGTACGGTACACAAACAATTTTTTTTTCAAAAATACAAATTATGCAGGAACTTAAAAGTTACATCAAAATTGAAAATCCGTATAAGTATCCGTATTATTACGTTACCTATGCGCTAAATGTAGACGTACCAATAAAGAAACTTATTGTTACGGATTTACTCGTGACGCGGCGGTAGACAGTCCCAAGTTGTAAAGTATACCTACCTAACCTATAATTCTGTTTTAAGAAGACAAGAATGCCGAATACATTTATGTAAGCATCTTCATCGTAAACCTCTATTAATTATTGTTGTTGCTGTTGCGATGATGTTGGGTAAACCATTCTGTTCTCCAAAATTTTTATCTTTTTATGTTTGGGCTCCTGCACTTCATCAGGGCGGTGGTGGTGGTGTGAAGACTCTATTTGACTTGTTGTTGTATTCTCTTCCTCAATGGAAGGGTAAAAATTTACATTGGAAAATTCCTTCATGCCTTGTAGGAATTCTGTTTCATCTTCTGCTACCACCCTGATATACTGCAGCGGTAAATTTTTTATTTTTCCTTCAACTGTTGCATTTTTTGGTGAATATGATAGATATAAATGTAATCTACCATTTACCACTTTCACCTCTTTCAACCCATATCTAAATGTACAAAAAAAATATTTATAGAAAAAACAATAAATGAATAAATAAAAAAAAAAACAACTAGTATGAAAATAATTTTATAGAAAAAAAAACAATAGACTTACCTAAATAAATTTTTCAAAAAAACAACCAACAATTTAGTTGGCAGTCTCTTCTTCTCAAGGCTTTCAAAAATAAATATCGAAGGAGTATTCATCTTAGAGCAAGCTTGACTATAATGCAGCATAGAATTTTCTGCCTTTATATATATTTTAAAACAAAGAAAAAATATATGACACGATATGAATAATAAGTTGTTTACAGGATACGCAGATTTAGAACATGTATCTAAATCAAAACAAATCCATAAATTATTAAAAAAAAATGCATACAAAGTAATAAATTAATAATATGCAATATCATTTTGTTAAAAACAATGAGTATGTAAATTAAAGATAAATTATTAAAAAAATATATACAAAGTAATAAATTAATCACATGCAATATATATTTGTTGTTAAAAACAATAATTATGCTTATTTTGCAATCTAATGATAATTTTATTAAAATATACATTCGCTCAGTCTGTAAAAAATTGTAATGTAACGATAGATTATTCAAATTATAAAACCAAGTTCTAACACGCTTGTAATACATTGGAAAAACAAATTAATGATTCTTGGAATATTTCTAATAATTTTAAACAAACAAAACAAGACGTAAGCAATTAATTTTAATATTTTATGAAAACAATTTATCTAATAAAGTTACCCAATTATCTAATTAAAACCAAGATAGTGATAAAATGTATTATCTATGGAAAATTTATGATAATTATATGCATGCAAACAAATCATGATCGTAGGCAATTAATTTTAATATTCTAATAAGAATAAATATTATGAATTATGATACAATTAACTCAGTTAAATCGAAAAAACATATTTATTGTTTATATTCAGATGTGACTATATAAACATTCAGTTGCTGTTGAAATCTCATTGCATTAAGTATTAATAACAAGTTAAATATGAATACAAAAATTGATGGTGTTGCTAATGAAGTGATAAGAAAATTTGAGAGGGTAAGACATTTAATTAAATCTAAAGATGAAATTTTAAAATGGACTAAAATTTTGAAGAGGTTATTATAAATATTAGAAAATGTATTAAGAATAAACTAGATTGTGTGAAAAATTTTTATAAAGTAGAGTCTCAATTATCATTGTTATTAAAGTATAGGGAAGATTTAAAAAAGAAACGTATAAAGACTAAAAAAACCAAAAACTTAGTTTAGGTAGATGTTGATTCATGTTTTAATGGGCGGATTCGAACAAGTGCAATAATAAATTTAGGTATAAAAGATCCAGACATATTTTTTAAAAAAGGCCTTAGAAGTTTTTAATTAAAATTAGACAAGCTCTGAAGACTTCAATGATTAAAGTTAATGTTAACTTTTTAGCTAATTTTATAAAACCTACTAATTCTGAAATAGAAGTAAAGCATTTCACTACTAAAAATCAAATAATTGATAATTCTACAAATTTAAAAAAGTGGTATAAGGAATATATTAGAAATTATATTTTAACAAAATTATCAGAATTTCAAGAACGAGATAGTGGTTGGGCACTTTATGAAATTCTTCAACTTAAAGTAAATATAAATAAATTTGTACCTATTACTGCAGGTTTTCTACATTTGTTAATACACGTAAATTTATATACAAAACGAAATCTGTAATAAACATAAAAAATAATGATGAATATTGTTTTCTTTGGTCAATAGTTGCATATTTAAATCCTGTTTCGATTAATTTCTAATGGTGTTTCATCCTATCCTCATTTTAGTGAAATAACCTATAGAAAAGATAAAAGAAAATTAAGCTATGAAAACTTTCAATTTCCTATGCATTTAAAGGATATTCCAAAATTTGAAAAATGTAATAACATTTCTATAAACGTTTTCAGCTATCGAAAAAACGAAATTTTTCCTTTAGCTTTAAGTAAAAATGACTTTTCTATTAAAATAAATTTACTACTATTACCAAACCATTCTGATATTGAGGATGCGAATAGTACTGATGATGATGATGATAAAATTGAATGTTTTAAACAAGAAACATATCATTTTGCTCTTATTAAAAATTTATCTCGATTACTTCATAAACAGTTACCTAATCGAAAGAATAAATCATGGTTATGCGAACGCTGTTTAAATTCATTTATATCACAAACAATTTTGGAAAAGCATTCAGTTAGTTGTAAAAAAATGAATACATTTCAAGTTATTGTTCCCAATGAAAAAGAAAAAATATTAAAATTTTCAAAATTTAAGTATAAGGAAAGTGTTCCTTTTGTTATTTATGCTGACTTGGAATGTATTCTTTTCGATGTGAAAAATGAAAATAGTTTTAATATAAAATCGAAAAAGTGTCAAAAACATGAACCATTTAGTATTGCATACTATTTAAAATGTTCATATAATGATGAACTTTCACGTTTTAATCTGTACACTGGTAAAGATTGTATAAATTGGTTTATTAATGAACTAAATACTATAGCGTTAGATGTGCATAATATTCTTTGTAACATTATTCCAATGAAACCTCTTACACAAGCACAATACCAATATATTCAAAGCTGTAAAGAGTGTCACATTTGTTTGAAACCGTTTAATAAAAATGATACAATTGTTAAGGATCATTCACATTTTACGGGTGAATTTCGAGGTCTTGCTCATTCTCACTGCAATATTAATTATCAGGATTCTCATACAGTACCTGTTATCTTTCATAATCTCTCAGGCTCTGATAGTCACTTCCTGATAAGGGCTTTAACTACTCAGATTAAGGGAAACATGAGTCTTTTACCATTAAACAAAGAACGATACATTTCCTTTACAAAATACATTCACAACACAAAAGTTAATTTTAGATTTTTTTAGATTCGTTTCGTTTTATGGCTAGTAGTCTCGATAAATTAGCATCTTATCTAGTAGATAATCAAAAGAAATTATTCTAAAATATTATCCAAAGCATGTAGAGTTTCAATTGTTGTCACGTAAAGGGTTTTCCTTATCAATACCTAAATAATTGGGAAAAATTACAAGACATTGAATTGCCTACAAAAGATCAATTTTATAGTTCTCTTAATAAAACAAATATTTCCGAAGAGGATTATCAGCATGCAAAATTAGTGTGGAACACGTTTAGCATTAAAAATCTACAAGAATATGCAGAATTATACTTAAAAACCGATGTTTTGTTACTTGCTGATATATTTGAAAATTTTAGAATTACATGTATGAAGACCTATGGATTATGTGCTCTTAATTTTTTTACCGCACCTGGATTAGCTTTTCAGTCTATGCTGAAAATTAGTAATATAGAGCTAGAATTATTAACTGACATTGATATGATTATGTTTATCGAACAAGGTATACGAGGGGGTGTTTCACAATGTTCTAATTGATATGCAAAAGCGAATAATAAATATATGGAAAACCAATTTGATGACAATGAACCTTCGTCATATCTTATGTATTATGATGTTAATAATTTATATGGAGCAGCTATGTCTATGCCTCTGCCTCAATCACATTTTGAATGGGTTCAAGATATATATGAGTTACCAAATATAATAGATATTCCTGAAAATAGTGACATTGGTTATATCTTTGAAGTTGATCTTACTTATCCTCAAAAGAACTTTTTTTGATTATCACAAAGATTTACCATTTTGTCCGGAAAAGGAGAATACCTGCTGGTTCAAAAGATTCCTAAATTACTTACAACTATATATAATAAGGAAAAATATATCATTCACTATCGTAATTTACAACAAGCCGTTAGTTTAGGATTAAAAATAACAAAAATTCATAGAGTTTTTAAAATTTAAACAGTCTTGTTGGTTAAAAGTCTTACATTGATTTAAATACAGCATTGCGAAAAAATAGTAAAAACGAATTTGAAAAAACTTTTACAAACTGATGAACAATGCTGTATTTGGTAAGACTATGGAGAATGTTCGTAAATATAAAGATATTAAACTTGTAACGAAATGGTCAGAAAGGTATGGTGCTAAATACTATATTTCACAACCAAATTTTCATAGTTGTACCATTTTTGATCAGGACATGGTAATAATCGAGAAATGAAACGTGTAAAAAGTTAAATTTGATAAACCAATTTATGTAGGATTTTCCATTTTTAGATTTATCTAAGACTTTTTATATACGATTTTCATTATAACTATATTCAAAACAAATTTGGAGAAAAGCAAAATTATTATATACTGATACTGATTCTCTCATCTACCATTTTTTTTGTGAAGGATATTTATAACTCAATTCAGCAAGACATTCATAAATTTGATACATCAGACTATCCTCTAATAATGTGTATAATATACCACAAAAAACAAAAAAATATTAGGTCTTATGAAAGATGAAAATAATGGGAAAATAATGACTGAATTTATTGGTTTACGATCTAAACTGTACACTTCTAGAACTCAAGCACATAGTTGTGAAAATTTAAATGTTAGTAAAAAAGCTAAGGGTATAAAGTCATCTTCACTTAAAAGCTATAACTTTTGACGATTTTTATCAATGTCTTTTTTTAAAATTCCACTCTTGAAACTGAACAACATTTAATTCAATCAAAAAAAACATCAAGTGTATACTATAGCCCAAAGAAAAATAGCTCTATCTCCGAATGATGATAAAAAGAATTATTAATTATTTATAGGAGATACAAAACCATGGGGTTGGGAACTAAGGGGAAACATTTAGAAAATCTTTAGATTTTATTTATTTGTTATAAAACCTCTCATTTTTTTGAAAACATAGTCAAATGATGATGATGAAATATTGATGATGGAAAAGAGAAAATGCTTGAAATATGTAAAAGCAATTCCAGGAGCCTTTACTCCTACCAAAGGATCTCCTAGAGTTGCAGGATTTGATTTAAGGAGTGTCTACAGTATAACTGTACCTGCAAGGGATAAGGCGCTCATAAATACAGGTCTGAAATTTGAATTGCCTTCAGGATGCTATGGAAGAATAGCACCTAGATCAGGATTAGCTTCAAAAAACGGCATCAATGTTGGAGGTAGAATTTTATTTTTATAATTATTAATATGATAACTATTCATTTTAATTTTCTTCTAGCTGGTGTTATCGATCAAGATTATAGGGGAATTGTGATGGTTCTACTCTTCAACCATTCGAATGAAGACTTTCAAGTAAACGTTGGAGATCGTATAGCTCAATTAATTTGTGAGCGTATACACTATCCTGAATTGGTTGAGGAAAAAAGAACTTACCCATACAGAGACGCAACACCAATGGTTTTGGATCAACAGGGCGATAATA